TCTCTCTCTCTCTCTCTCTCTCTCTCACTCACTCACTCACTCACTTACTCACTCACTCACTCACTCACTCACTCACTCACTCACTCACTCACACACACGCATGCACGCACGAGCTGCCTGAGTCAACATGAGCAGGCCGGAGCAGGCAGAGGCAGTGCACTTGCGCCATCTAAAGCATATCAGCGCGTGTTTAGCCGCGAGGTGGGGGCGACAATTGAGAGGTACAGCGGCGGCCCCGGCCGGACCCGGCCCGCTGGCAGCTAGACAGCCGGTAGACGCCCGGCCCGGGCCGCAGTCGCGAGGTAGCGCGCCCCGAGACACACACACAAGACTCGTCTCTGAGCACCGCACCGCACCGGTCATCGCCATGGACCCCAGCGGGCACCGCGTCGCCATGCCCCTCCTCCCCATCGTCCTGGCGGCAGCCGCCCTCGGCGTCGTCACCACCGCCGCCGACATGAGGCCCAACATCGTCCTCATCATCGCCGACGACCTGGTGGGTACACTGTGAAATCTCATCGACTCGACTTGACTAACCGCGAGGCCACTTGGCTCCTGTTAAAAGTTACACCGGAAACCCACAATAATTTACTCTCTTGAGTACACAAATGGGCATTCACACACCTACAAGTGTGTGACATTTTCAATGCACACACTTGCGTTTCCAGTGTGTTGCCCAGCCCCATGCTGGATTTTAACAATTCCCTCTCACGCCGCCCCACAGGGCTTCAACGACGTCAGCTTCCGCGGCTCCAACCAGATCCCGACGCCCAACATCGACGCGCTCGCCTTCAGCGGCGTCATCCTCAACCAGCACTACGTGCTGCCCACCTGCACGCCCTCGCGCACCGCCATCCTCACCGGCCAGTACCCCATCCGGACGGGTGAGTTGGCCACGCAGAGCGGAGACCACACCACACGCAAAAAGGGAGTTATTTGAATCAAATTAATTTTCTTGAAACAAGTGCATGTACCCAATTTATTCGAGTGCATGCACTTGTTTCGAGAAAATGCACTTTGCTCAAGTACTACAGGGGCGTAGTAAGGGTCTGCCCGGGGGAGGGGGGGGGGATAGAGCAAGTCGACTAGTTTTGTAGGTCAAATTGTCTTCCTTTCAGGCGGCTATCTAGGTAGGCCCCCTCTTAATGCGCGCCTGTCTGGACCGCACATCACCCGATAATCAAATCCATATACTCCACGTGGAATTCCCGGTGATTCTTACTGCTTGCGGCAGGGTAGATTTTAACAAGGTGGAACAAACAACAAAGCATTCAAAGACCTAGCTATATTTTCAAAATATACATAAACTATGGGGGGGCACGTTTTAGCCTTTTGGTAGAGACAGTCTTGGGGACTGTCTTAAAATTCTACAAGTTTGTCAAAATTGTCATTGTAGTAACCGAGTGCGACACATATCACCAGAGATAGCGGAGCGGCGGGTCTCGTCGCCGCGCACTGGGTCAGGGTCACGGCGAGGAGCGTATAGCCGGAGGAGGAGGAAGCGTCAGTAAATAGCGGCGCATCGGAGAGCAGTGGCTTTTGTGCGAGCTACGCGAGCTACGCGAGCGAGGCGCGAGCGTGAGGTCGAACCGGAGCAGGCAGGTACCCGGCCCGCGCGGGCCTCGGCTCGGACACCGGGTAGCCTCGGCCCGTGGGTGCGAGCGGGACACTATTACTTATGAGAGGAATATTTCCATGGCATGGCGCCGCTGTTGCATCGCATATGCACCTGTAGCGCATAAGACTTTGGCGTCCAGCAGCTCCACCTTTCATGCGGTTTTAGTGTGCGCGAGCCTTTCTCTTGTGACACGCCTCTATAGAGGGTATACCCCGTGGGTATCTACACCGCCAGGAGGCGGTCGCAAACGCATGACGCATCGGACTGGACATGGACACCCATGACGTCCGCGTCAACGTCACCCATCAGCTCGTGACGCGAGCACGGGGGACTTCCACCGCCGGCACCGGGGCCGATACAGAAGAGGGACTCTATAACGTGACATGTTCGTCGTCGCGTGTGCCCCGAACCAGTTCGGCCGGTTTGCGCCGCGCTCACTGACCTTACGCACCGCGCGGCGCCAAAATGATAAGATATAGCCGCGTTACGAGCGTTACGAGCCACGTGTCAACAGAGAGTAGAGCACCGAGCACGGTGCAGCCGAGGGCCCGGCCCCGCCCGTCACCGTAACGCCCTTTTCAGGCAGCCTCTTTCTTCTGGCTGTCTCTATACACCCTGCATATAGTTTCTTTGAAATAACGTCATGAAATAAAGAGAACTTACACCTTGATTCAAGGCTAATTTCAAGGAGGTGATTTTATGGGTATGACTGAAGATGAAAGTTTGCCAGTCTGATGAAGATTGCCGACTACAGTTCTAGTTTACATTAGCTGATTTGCCTCAGATTGCCGTTAGCCTTGGCTTTCCTGCCACTAATCGAGGGAGTTTTTTAAAATAAATATTTGACATTATACCATTCTAAAATCAGAACACAGAAGCCACGCTGCTATATGTATTGCCACCTGGCGCCAGCACGGACTAGGAATTGCTCGCGTCTATTGCTTCCGCACTTCCGCACTCTTCCTCAGGGCCCACGAGTGGCACACCTGCGATAATAGGCCGCTGCACCCGGCGGCCATGCGCCGCCGCCGCCCGCGCGCCGAAAGAATCGTCAAAACCGACGACAAAAAGGAGGTGAACCGCGTAATCTATCTCCTCGCCACGGCCTGGGACGGTGCGATATCACACCCACATTTTCTGTGAGTGGGTCTCGCTCTAGCATCGTGTGTCCAACAGCTGCCTGATGGGTAGGCAATTTCACCTAAAAACCCCTGAAAATAGGCAACCCTAAGTAAATCGCCATAGTCAGCCCTAAAACCGCGCCTGACAAGCATATGGGGCGGTTGTGCCGGTTAGGTGTGACATATGGCCGTAACACAAATGTGGGTGACACATGGTTGTCACACACTACTCATTGCTGCTTTCATGTAGGTAGGGCCTCTCACTATTGCTCCCCTGCTCCGCTACCCGCAGGCATGCAGGGCTACCCGCTCAAGGCGGGCGAGGCCCGCGGGCTGCCCCTGCAGTTCCCGACGCTGCCCGAGCGCCTGGCCGCCCTGGGCTACCGCACCAACCTGGTGGGCAAGTGGCACCAGGGCTACCACCACGCCGAGTACACGCCGCTGCGCCGCGGCTTCCACCACCACCTGGGCTACTGGAACGGCTACATGTCGTACTTCAGCCACGCCGTCCACATGGACTCGGCTCACGGACTGGAGGAGGTTCGTATTCACACCCCGTTTCCGATACGTGTTCAAAGAACTCAAAGAACTGAAAACTTACGTGTTTGATAAAAATGAAACAAAATTGAAACACGTTCTTTACAGGGGCGCATAGGTTTTGACTTGCACTTGGACGCGGAGCCTGCCTGGCACCTGCGGGGCCAGTACGCCACGCACCTGTTCACGGAGCACGCAGAGGACATCATCGCCCAGCACAACTCGACCGCGGGACCCCTCTACCTCCAGCTCGCGCACCTCGCCGCGCACGCCGGCCTCAACGGCACCTACCTCGAGGTCCCCGACGAGGAGCTCAACGACAAGCGCCACGGGTACATCGTCGGCAGCGACCGCCGGCACCTCGCAGGTGACTTAGCTAATCCCGTTCGTAGGGTAATTCGGTTCACGAGCTGCAAAGTTCTAACAATAACCCCCAACTGCGATACTGCCTGCTCCCCTCAGGTGTGATCCGGGAGCTGGACGAGTCGGTCGGGCGCGTGGTGCGAGCGCTGGACGAGAAGGGCATCCTCGACAACACCATCATCGTGTTCATGGCGGACAACGGCGGAGAGACGCTCGGGCCCCACAGCAACCACGCCTCCAACTGGCCGCTGCGAGGGGTGAGTGCGGCGCCTGCTGCCTAGGCAGCCCAACCAGCAGCCTAGCTGTTCCTGCCGTCACGCCAGGTCAATGAGTGCTTCGGCAGGGCCAAGTAAATGAACGGTTGATTTTCATCTCACAGCAAAAATGGACCGTGTACGAGGGCGGCGTGCGGGGCGCGGCTGTGGTGTGGAGCACCAAGCTGGCCCGCCCGGGCAGCCTCCACCAGAACCTCGTCCACGCCACCGACTGGCTGCCCACCTTCTACCAGGCCGCAGGTCAGTCTCACACACAGCCTACTCGCACTAATGACACCTAATCTGCTGCTGAAAAATAAACGTGTATGCTAAATCGCACCGCCAACCGCCCTGTAACACCCTCTCCTCGCCCCAGGTGGCAACATGTCCGACCTCGGCCCCCTGGACGGAGTGAGCCAGTGGGGGAGCCTCACCTCGGCCAGCGCCCTGGCCCCCAGGTCCGAGGTGCTCGTCAACATCGACGAGGCCGGCGCCCTGATCCAGCGCGACTGGCAGGCCGACTGGAAGCTCGTCCGCGGCCAGCAGAGCCCGGACCGCAGCGGCTACGTCAGCGAGAGCGGCCACGGCGCCGAGGTGCCCGCCTACAACGTGAGCGCCGTCCTGGCCAGCGAGGCCGCGGCCGCCCTGGGGAAGCACCTGCCCGCGCTCACGGAGGCCGCCGTGCGCCAGCGGCGCGCCGACGCCGCGACCGGGGCCGGCCCCTGCCAGGCGGTCGCCGACACCCTCGACCTCGCCTGCAAGCCTTACTGCCTCTTCAACCTGCGCACCGACCCTTGCGAGGCCGTGGACGTCCGCGACGCGCACCGCGAGGTCGGCGACAGGCTGCTGGAGAGGCTGGCCTACTGGGAGAACCTGACGGTGCCGCAGATCAACCAGCCCGTCGATGAGGCGGCCGACCCCAGGCAGCACAACATGACCTGGGTGTCGTGGCTCGACGTCCAGCCCCAGCCGCCCGCGACTGCCGCCGGGGTCACCGCCGCACCCCTCGCAATCCTCGCCGTCCTCCTGCCGGCCGTCTGCTTCCTCTGAGAAGGACACAGCCCGAGCAGCTGTAGCTCCTACCTGTGCGGCGCGGTCCGGGAGGATGGCCGAGTACCGCTCGTCGTAGAACCGCGGGTTCTGGTCGTCCGCGTCCACCACCTGCACGTAGAGCGTCGTGTCCGAGAACTGCGGCGGGGTTCCCTGATCCTAGACAGTCGGAAACAAAATCAGTGAAACCGTACGAGAGGCGAGTGCGCAGATAGGTACGCTCTCAGTTCAGAGAACAATGTTCTCAGGTTGAGTCCAGTGCTTGTTACCTGCGCTCGGATGTTGACCGTGAAGTTGGACAGCGTCTCATAGTCCAGCGCCTTCCTAAGTACCAGGGTGCCCTCCAGTGCATTGACGAACATGAAGTAGTCCTGGAAAACGAGGGGAAAATTAGTTGTTGAACGATGTTTGTTATGCCGATCGTGAGCTGGGTTAACTAAAGATCACATGGGCATCGGCACCACATGAAATTTTGTCGTGCTCATCAGTATGCACTGGTCTTTTATAATTTGCAGAAGACTCATCTACGACTCTACGTCGTGCATCTACGTTTGCGCCATAGGGGATGTGAGCACAGACCACGCGTTTTTCCCTTGGTCACATCACTCTCCACTCGGAAAACACATGACTTGTGAACAACCCTCTAAGTCCCAAATACCTCAAGGATCTCCTTCTTGCTGTTGATGAAGACCGGCTGCGTGCAAAATCCAATCATTATATTCACTGTCAGCGAGAACCCATGCGGTCTGCTTCAGACGCAGCCTTGCTAAAGAGGCATGACAATCGACACTGGGGGGATTAAGGGAATCCTCACCAAACAGCTGATAAGAGGAAATGAGGTGCTCTCCTCCCGAGGCGCCGACACAGGCGCAGATTTGCCTCGCGTTAAATGGTGGCAATAAACGGCTATTGCCCTGTCCCCGCGACTCGCTTGCACGTGATACGTGATCAAATTGAAACAAATCTAGTCATTTGCCAGAGCCCCTGAAGTCGCATCAAAAAATAAGTATTACTCTAAATTTTACTCGTTAAAGACTAAAATGTTATTAATTACGCACAATCTCAAATAGGAAATAAAAATTGCTGGCAATTTGACACGATAGTCGATAGTAACCATCTAACGAAATTTCAGTTCGTAAGGGCAGTATAGAAACGTTTGCCGTTGTTCTACTGCGGACGACGTTGACGTTGCGTGGCACCCGCCGATATACCCCTCGCCTTGAGGATACTCACCGCGTTGGGTCCCGGCAGCACGGAGTACTGCACCGTGGAGTAGGGCCCCGGCTGGTCCGCGTCCACCGCCCTCACGCCCTGCAGCACCCGCGTCCCGACCACAGTCACCTAGGGCGATAATAGGGATAATTACAAACATGAACAGAAATGTAAGCTTCGGGGATTCACACTCCTCAAGATGATTGCAATTCGAGGCGTCCTCATTTTTAAATAGAAGGTTATTTCGGAAAGTTCTTCGTCCGTACCTCGGATATGTTGAGCACGTATGGTGCGTTCACAAACTGAGGCGCGTTGTCGTTCGCGTCCGTCACCCGAATATTGACCGGAATCGAGAGGCCCTGAAAAAGTAAGAAAAAAAATCCCACTATTGCAATTTTTCAAAAGATAATTAAATCACTTGGTACTTATTGAAATCGCGACTACTTACCGGATCAGCGGTGCGTTTTCTATCACAGATGATGCTGATGTACACAGACGCGGGGCCTTCAATGCCCTGTGAGGAAAAAGAAACAATAAGTGATGATGTAGAACAAATAAATCAACAAAACTTGTCAAAATAAGATGTAAAAAAGCAATAAAAGACAACAGTGTAGCCTATGTCTGACCTCCTTGTCCAGCCTCCGCATGAGTGTGAGGTTCTTGCTGCCCGGTGACACTCGCACGGGGCTGTCCGTCTCCTGCAGGCGCAGCGCGATGTCTCCATGGGGCTCGCTCGGGTCTCCCAGCACCGACAGCACTCCTACAATGAAAACACAAACGCCGTGTCAAACTATTTAGAGGAAAAAAAAATGTTCTCGCAACAAGAAAACATTTTACAATAGATCAAATACAATATTGATTTTCCACTCCAGTAGTACATTTAGTAGTCTACTTGTTAAAAAGAACAGGTTCTCGTTGTTTTACACACTGGAAAAACAAATTCGACTCAACACCCTTCTCCTTCTTCCTTCTCGAGGGCTAATAGCTTTAGGGCCTTCACATAAAAATTAGCACCTCTGGAAAGGCAGTAAAATGTCCCAAAGGTGACAACTGTGTGCCATTTGGACACTTCCCTGCCTTCATAAAGGCGCCAACTTTAAGCACCCATAATAAAAGGCACTAAGTCCACTACCTTTGTTTCTCCAGTGTAGTCGCAATTTTTTCACACCAAGTGCACATTGGTTCTCATTCAAATTGAAAACAAAGTTGAATATTGTACTTTTCTTGAATCGATAAACTGTTTTAATTGTGTTAAATCAGGTTTACAATTTGCTGTTAATGGTCTTTAAAAGAGGAAAAAACAAACATTTCTTGGCAGCACCAGGACCCTGGCCGGCGGGTAGAGTGGACCAGGACGTGGAGCGCCGAGCGCCGACGGCTGTCGCCACGCGGCCAGGACACCGTCATCATTCCGCTCACCACCCCCATTTCCCTTTCCAGAGAATGTGACGCAAGATGTGTGCCAAACGGCGGCGCGTATACTGCACGCGCACACTCACTCACTCACACTCACACACTCAGCCACACACACGCACACCGCAGGGCGTATGGGACAAATTGAGCACCTCCTCAGCCCCCCACCCTGGACCTTCCCACTCCAGTGGAGGACGGCGCCGCGACTGGAGGAGACGCCGCCGCCGCTTCTGCTTTCCACTGGACAATTGAGGCGCCACGCGGCGCCACCGCACCTCACAATAATGATGATGATAATAATGGACACACACACACACACACGCGCGCGCGCAGGGCGTCGTCGCGTGGCCGCCGAGACCGAGAGCGTCGCGTCACTGGCGACAATATGTTGTGCGAAGGGAGGAGGCGTCGCGGAGCAGCGCCGTCGTGTGGAAGGAAAGTGAATAGAGACGCAGTCCTCCTGCTCCCTCCCTCCCTCCCTCACACACACACTGTAAAATGCTTGCAAACTATATTCTTTGCAACGTTGCAAAGAATTTGTGAGCATTGTATTGCAAAGAATTAGTTCGTATTGCAAAGAATTAGTTCGTATTGCAAAGAAGTTCTTTGCAAGCTGGCAGAATCCTTGCAAACAATGTGTTTGCATTGCAAAGAAATTGTTTGTAAGCTTGCGAAGAACTAGTTCGTATTACGATGCTTGAAAATTCTTTGCAAGCTGCAAAGAAAATAGTTTGCAATACGAACCTGTTCTTTGCAAGCATTTTGCAGTGCACACACACAGACAGACTTCCCCTGCGTTCACAATTTTCCTCTATCTCTCCCTTCTTTCTTAACTTTAACGTGTTGAATGTGATTCGGGAAACAAACGTGACATACACAATAAACGTCTACGACAAATCCATAGACTGTGGATCGATTCATTATTGATTTAGTTTCGACGCGCTTGTTTTGTGCCACCCTACTGTCATCACTACTTGTCGAGCATCAACTATATGTAAATACCCCTTTTCCCACTCCCCACACGCGTGTTAATTTGAATATCTTTTCCTAAAATATTTTAAACACGCGAAGCGTGGAAAAGCCATGCACTCGTCAGCACAGGTTTACCTCTTTCGCTCAGCTGCTGGCGCTGGCGGA